TCCAATAGTCTTTATATAAGTAAATTTAATGAGATAAGTTTTAAATTTTGAATCAGTAAAAAATTATCTAAAATCATATCTCAAAATTGAAAATAATTATTATTTCAAAAGAATCGAATTGGTCCAAATTTAAAAGATAAAGAGTCAAAATAAATTAAATAAATAAGATAAAAAAAAATAAAAGTATAATTTAGTCATAATAAGAATAATAGCATGTAATGAGATAAAGTGAGATGCTAATTTGCTAAAATTCAATTTTGATATTTAAAAAATTTCCAATTAATCAGAAATTTGAATATTACACCATAGTAAATACACTTTTTTTTTTTAATTATTGATAAAAAATTTCTTTCACAAGACACAATCTTACTTGAATTAAGAAAAATTAATAATAAAACTAATTTTTCAATATTTAATAAAGTTTTATACCAAAAATTAAATCTAAAATTAGTAATTTTATACGAGTAATAATAAACACATTTATTGAATTCAGTATAAATTTCAATTTTATACTACCAACTTTTATCAAAAAATAATATTAAATTAAATTATACTATATCGAATATATTTATTATTATATCGTATATATATATATATATATATATATATATATATATTTTGTTATAGGTTTACTACTAAAGTAATTTTAAATTAATTAGTGGTCTCAAATTTAAATTTTATATACATATATAATATTACATTAATTAATGTTAAAAAGGTGAATTTTATTGCTCATAATAATTTTATTTAAACAAAATTATTTCTGGTAAAAATATATATATATAAACTATACAAAACAAAATCGTTATGGATTTGAGTTTTAAAGTTAGATCTATTACATTTTAAGGACAATTTCAAAATATATCTCAAGTCATTTTAAATTGACTCAATATTCTATTTTGTTTTAAAGTCTATACTTTTAAAATTAATAATAGATTAATAATAATTTCTTGACTTAATAAATATTATTTTACATGAAATAATATATATATATTATATATATATATTATATATATATATATATTAATTAGTGAATTGAGCCACTTTGTATTTTTATTAAAAATAAAAAATAAAGTATTAAATGTATGTTGATATAATTATGATTAGCCCATTAATTTTAAAATATTGATTTTGATAACAAAAGAATTTTATTTTTTCTAATTTTCTAAAGTGAAAGGTTATGATCAACAAAATATGGAGAGTAAGGTGATTATTAAAAGGAGTCTCTCCTTTATATTTTATTATAGATATATAAACACACTCACACATGTTATATACCTTTTATACAAGTGGTGACACATTTTCTTAAATGAGAACATGAAAACAAGTATTATTAACTCTTAAATTAAAATAAATTACTTATATTAAAATATTGCAAATAAAGTTATCATGTGTCACTACCATCACATTTATTTATGTTATTGTCATCATTATTGTAACCATTAGCATCATTGTCACCACTACAATGATTGTCATCATTAATATAAACAATAATAATAATAACAACAATGACGGTGGTAATAACAGTAACTATGGTAGTGGTATGGTAACAATAATAATATTGGAGATGGTGGTTATATGATGCTAATTTGACGGTGTCAATGACAACAATAATTACAAACACAATAATAATGATAATAACAATCATAACAATGATAATACATTATAATTTTATTTATAATATTATAATCTATAAATTGTTATTAGCTGTGTTTATGTTATTATATAAGTTAATTAATTTGTCAATTTTAATTTTGACTAAAAAAAAAAA